AATGGAGACCTAGCGAGGCCATTGCATTGCTTTCTACCATGTAATAATGGCGAAACCTCTGAGCTGTAAGTGAGCCTTCCCAATGAAATGTTTTCCATTATAAGAGTCACTGTGGTCCTGGTGTCTCTTCACAGCAACCAAAACCCTAACTAAGGCAACGTGGCTGGTGCAGCAGAGGGAGCAGGAACAGGTCTCCAGCAGGCACTGCTGTGTGAGGGAGGAAGCCAACAACCACGGATCTAGAGATCAAGGACTACAACGGCAAAAGTGGAACAGGGACACTGGGGCGGGGGTCAGTGCAGAGAGCCCACAAAACTGGGCAATGATTGCAGTAGATGGACCATTCTAGAAGCTGGCAAGGATGGAGGATGGGTTTTCATTGGTGATGTGAGTAGGGTTTAGGACATGCAGTTGATTGGAAATAATGCCCTGGCATTAGTACAGTGGGAAACCAGACATCCTCTGAGTCCAGCAGACTTAAACTGTCCACTTTTAACTGCCAGAGACAGGAAGAATTTGACTCTGCTCAATGACCAAAATGTAAACATGGAAAAATGCAAACAGATATAAAGTGATGATATGGCACATAAAGAAAAGTAAACTAGGAATACATAGGTTGGGTAGGTTCACAGAGTCCTTCATATCAAAATCTAAACATAAATAAATAAATAAATAAATAAATAAATAAATAAATACATAAAAGGAGGCTGTTATAAAGCAGATGATGGCGATGACAAGGATGCTGGCAGTAGAAGGACCCACTGAGCATGGTACCCATGGTCAGTAAGGGTCATGGATACTGTTACTGGCTGGCTGTGGAAAGGAAATGAAATTATCTGTCTGAACTGGAACAGTCCTGAGGGGAGGGAGGGAGCAGGTTAGCTCTGGCCAGTGTTTTAATGTTAGCTCACTGAGAATGAGAAAAATCCCACAGACCTGGGTGACAGCAGAGACCATCAAGGCTAGCAGAGAGTAGCAGGGATGAGCTGCCAGGGTTTCACTTTCAAACCCCTTGTGGGGTCATATCTGAACTGTGCACACTGGAGACCACAGGAAGGAGGAGGTCAGTGGCCAGAGAAAGGTAGGAACTCACTGCAGGAAGGACTCACACCCCAGTCTGAGGCCTGCACAGGGACCGGAGGTCTGAGCAAAGCTGTGTGAGCCTGGATTACATTCATTTCCTTCCAGGTGTGGGTTGGGGCCTGAGCTCCAAGGAGGGAAAGACCAAAGGACATGGGCAGTGTGAGGAAGAACTCTGCCATGGCCACATGGTGGCAGCAGAAAGCCACTGGCTAGATGAATGACATGCTGGCCAAGAAATGCCAGAGAGAGCGCACACAAGGCCACGTGGCTACACTTGGGGTTGAGAGACACAGATTTGACAAGAGAAGGGACTAAAAAGAGAAGGTGAGGATGGGGACATTGAAATGTGGACATGCCCAGTTCAGCCCCTCCTTTAACTGATCCCTTCCCCTCATACTCTTGGGGCCTTGTCACTTACTGTCACCTATGCTGTGACAAGTCTCTTCCAAAGTGTCTACTCAAATGTCACCTTGTGGGATCTACATCTCCTTGGACCCTGCTCTTGCAACTCCAGCCCTTCTCCATGCCAGCATTCTCTATGCCCCTGGGTAGTTTTGTTTTTCTCTGTAGCACTCAGCACCAACTGATAGGCCGTCCGCTTCACTTTTCTAGTAGTTTATTGATTGTTTTCTCCCAACCAGAGCGCAGGCTCCATTAAGCGCAGACTTGTCGTCTGAGCACTCGTGGATTCCAGTGACTGAAACTGCTCTGGCATGTGATGCGCATTCCCAAAGCATCTGCTGGATCCATTAGTCAGTGGGCCCTATCCCCAGCTGAGGCATCTTTTTGCTTCCGACATAAATATTCAAATGCCCACTGGACAGCTCCATGAAGACATGGCCATTCAACCTCCTCTAAATGGAACTCATTATCTCCCTGACTCCAGCCTAAATTCTCTGCTCCTCCAGAGTGTCCCTGCTTCAATGTGGCACAAACATCCTGTCAACTGTGCAAGCAGAAACAAAGATCCCTCCCTTTGACAACCACTTTCCCTCATTTCAATGTATAATCAACCATATAGTTTTCTTACTTTTTTTTTTCTCCTGAGTATCCGTGAACACATGGGATTCTGACCTCTCCTTTTTCCCATCTACATTTTCTCTAGTTTACATCTTACTCCTTGGGGCACAATGCAAGTGAGATTTCTGCTTCCTCTGTGGTCATTAGCATGAAGTCCCAACACATGATTTTGTCTTTCTATACGCCCCTCTTCTGGTCCTCATGGGATATCAATGGGTTGGCCTCTGTGACTGGGTTTCTGCTGAACTTCGCTAGCTCTCTTCCTTCCAGGGCTTTTTGGGTGGCATTTCTCACACTACCCTGCTCTTCCCGCCTCCTTGTGTGCCTGTAACCCACTATTCAAGTCCAAGTTCAGACATTACTCTTCAAAGAAGCCTGACACAGCAAATACCATGTCCCTTCCTCCCAGTGACCCAACCAGACCATGCAGTAACTATGTGCATGGGGCTGACATGGCCCTGCCCTCCCAGGAGAGGAAACAGCATGCAGGGATTACTCAGCTCTTGTATATCCATTCCCTTCCTGCCTTCTTCTTTCCTGGAGGACCCTTTCCTTTACCTTTTCTTTACTTGGTGTTTCACCTTTCCAAGCACAGAATCTGGGCTGCTTGATGTTTCTCAGAGGAAAGGCCTATTCTTGAGTTTGCTTTCCTTCCTATTCAAAGCCAGTGCCCCTCCCCAAGAGACTACTCATCATTTCTCCTATGAGTTATGTGACCAGTTGATTGGATCTAAAATTCCATCAAACTCACAATGTAAAGTGAACAGGAAGGAGGCTCTTACAGCTTTAACACAGAGGGCATGGCTTAACATGTATCCATCAACGCCCGATTCTGTGGGTGCAGTTTTCAAAATGAGATGCTGATGAAGGAAAACTCAGTGTATTCACTACACAGAGAGAGAGAGTGCACGTAGGTTGGCTGGATCAAGGGGATGCCATATGCAGACTGTATGACTCTCCTCAATGCCTAAGAACATCATAGAGAGTTTACTAAGAATGTGAATGAGAGTGTTTGATAACCAGGTATCTTGAGTTCAAGTGTTTTGAATGCTCTATAGGAAATTAACCATATGGGTACCAAACAGGTCTTATAAGCCAGGAAAAAGATGTGAAAATGTTCCTGAGAAATAAATTTGTGAGTCTGTCCTGTACAGGATATACCTAGGATTGGTCAGTAAATTAAGAAAATGAAGTCAGAGGGAAGACACCAGATCAGTAACAGATCAAGCTCAAATGTCTCAATGTAGTCAGTTTGTGGGAGTGTTCCCTTTCTTTTCAAAGGCTACAGAGTATTCTAGTGCAGAGGATTTCCATGGCAATAAAACATGGGAATATTGAATGAGATAAAAAAAATGGCACAGGGCATATTTTTCAGCTCATGGTAAAACAGGACTTCTATGCTTTTAATTATTCAACTGCCAAGGTAGTCTACCCTGCCCTCTCTGATATGATGCCCATTGTGTCCATGTCTCTTGGGGATTGCATGAGTAAATATTCCAGTAGCAGCCTTCTTCTCTCTCTAATGTGTGTGGGGTACTGGAGAGATGGCTCAGCAGTTAAGAGCTCTGACTGCTCTTCCAGAGGACCCAGGTTCAGCTCCCATCACCCACATGGCAGCTCACAACTATGTGTAAATCCAGTTCCAGAGGACCTGGCATGCTTACACAGACATGCACACAGGCAAAACACCAATGCATATATAAATTAATCTTAAGAAAAGTGTGTGTGTACAAGCACACAGATATGTACCAGTGCAATACGCTGTGGAGGTCGGAGGACTGAGGGGTCAGCCTCTGTTCAGATGATGTCACTAAAAGAAATGAGAAACACTAGCACCTCCTGTGGCTGTTTGGGCAGACCTGAGTCTCTGGGACACTAGATGACTCATAAGGGAGTCCTAGCTAACTGGAGATCCTCTACTTTGGTGCCAAAACCTAGGGTGTTTGTTGCCTGCTTCCTGCCCTCTGTCAGCAGACACTCTGCCTGGACATACTGTCATACCCCACCCCACCCATACACTCTCACATAACAAGGGTTGTACACCATTCAGACTCATTAGACAGTAACTCAATATGACTTTAGCTGATTGGGTAAAATATACATATGTGACAGTGAACAAACACAGGTTTGTACCTAGATGCTGGTCTTGGGAGTCTGCTTGCAGAGAAACTCATCCTGACTGTGTCTCCCCCTACCCCCACTGAGCTGCTAGTGAGAGGGAGGAAAAAAAAAAAAAAAACAAAACCTCACAGAGGACAACCTCAGGTGGCGTTCCCTCTTCCCACTTTGTCTGAGAAAGAGTATCTTTGTTGTTTTGTAGCATGCTGCAGCCTGGCTGGCCTGCAAGTTTCTGGGGGTTCTCCTGTCCTTACCTCCCACTACAAGCATTGGATTTGGGGCAGAACTGGCTCCTGCTACTGTGCTCAGATTTATGTGGGTTCTAGGTCTTCACACTTGGCATGGCCAGTGCTTTACCCATTGAGCCATCTCTCTAGTCTCCTTTTTTTTTATAATTATCAATATATTAGGCTTTCTTCCAACAGACTAGAAAGATCAAGAGACACCTTCTACCTCTTTATAGTTGCTAGTACAGGTACCTGCGAATGTAAGGCCCTCACAGGACTGCTAAGTTCCCACAGTGGAGGTTAAGACCGGCTATTGAATCTTAATGTTCACTGTGACATTACAGCTCCCTGTTATTGTTAGCCAACATGTTAAATCAAGGCCATAATTACATCTCTGCACTATCCTATTAACTCCTGCTAGGAATCTTTTTTAAAAGATACAAGCAAACCCAAAAAGTCCCTAAGCTAGGTATTTTGTGGATTTTCACCGCCTTGGGAATGACAGTTTGCTTAGCTCGGTAGTGACCTTTCCGTGGTCTTATGTCAGCCTACCTCCGGTCTGTAGGGTACAGTTCCACTGTGACTACATCAAGGGAATTCCACGCTGAGATGGTCAGTCCATTGTACAGACACAGCATGCCTATCATCATGGATTCACTGGTACCAAACCACAGGAAGAAACAACTTATCCCTGAGAGCACCATGGAGCCGCCTGCCAACAGAGGAAAGGAAAGATTGAAAGTTTCCTGTCATCTCAGCAGGGCTAGGATCTCTGGGCTGTGGAGCTCTCCCAAGAAGACAGCTCCACAGGGAGGCTGCAGACTGGGCTCCATAGAACTGAAGTTCAAGTGTATCCACCTGTCCCAAGAGTGATCTAAATAGCTTCTGAATGTGACATGTACAAATGCACATCGTCCCCTGCTCACACACTTCTGTGGAAAAACATCCATTAGCTACCCATAATTAGCTTTGTAGTGTGTAACTCATGGGGATTGCTCATGTGAAATGTAACTGGACACAATTTTTACTATGGTTCAGTCATAATGAAAGGCCTAAGGGGTTTCTTACGGTCATGCATTTCTAAGGGGCAGGGGACAAGGTAGGAAACAGGTTCTCTCTAGGTCACAGGGACAGCTCCCCTTCTTTCCAAGAATGTAAGCACGTACCTAGCATTGTCAAGCGTCCGATTCTGTCCATCAGGAGAGCAGAGACAATATTTCCTGGCAACACTGCCAATGTCCCGAGAAAGTTGACAAAGTATATCCAATAGGCACTATAGTCATCGTCAAAAGTAATCTGGCATCCTGTCTTGTTGTGAAGAAACGAGCAGTTCTGAAATTCACTGTTGATGAACTTATATGGCTCAAAATCTGTAGAAACAGCAACAAATAAAATTCCATTAAGCTCCTGTCAGGTTCAAGTGACAGATATGGATGATGATGTGGCATATGTGAGATAAAAGATGGCAAGGGCATGTGTCAGATGGCAAAACAAGACTTCTATGCTTTTATATAATTATTCAACTGCTAAGGTTCTACCCACCCTCTCTGATATGATGCCCAATGTGGTGTCCATGTCTCTTGGGGATTGTATGAGTAAATATTCCAGTTGCAATCTTCTTCTCCTCCTCCTCCTTCCTCTCTCTCTCTCTCTCTCTCTCTCTCTCTCTCTCTCTCTCTCTCAAGTAGGGGTACTGGAGATATAGCTCAGAAGCTAAGAGCTCTGACTGCTCTTCCAGAGGACCCAGGTTCAGCTCTCAGCACCCACATGGCAGCTCACAACTGTGTGTAAATCCAGTTCCAGAGGACCTGGCATGCTTACACAGACATGCATGCAGGCAAAACACCAATGCATATGTAAATTAATCTTAAGAAAAGTGTGTGTACAAACACACAGATATGTACCAGTGCAATACGCTGTGGAGGTCGGAGGACTGAGGGGTCAGCCTCTGTTCAGATGATGTCACTAAAAGAAATGAGAAGCACTAGCACCTCCTGTGGCTGTTTGGGCAGACCTGAGTCTCTGGGACACTAGATGACTCATAAGGGAGTCCTAGCTAACTGGAGATCCTCTACTTTGGTGCCAAAGCCCAGGGTGTTTGTTGCCTGCTTCCTGCCCTCTGTCAGCAGACACTCTGCCTGGACATACTGTCATACCCCACCCCACCCATATTCAGCAAAGCATAGTGATACTGCCAATTCCCTGATGATACCATGGCTGGAGTTGGCTTGGCTTTTTGTGTCTCTTTGCTGGAGCATGAGAGCTAGTCTGGGACCTCACATTACAAAGTAGCAGCGTGGGGCACACTCCCTTTGCTGAATAAGGGACTAAATTAGCTAAAGTTTCCAGTTATCCTGAGTCCCTATGGTTGGACTATGCTAATTACACCTTTACAATATTACTTTATGTTTACCATGTTACATAAAGGCCTCTGTCTTTCTGTCTTTAATAGTGATATATTCTATATAATGCAAGCATAAAACCAATTTGTTTTAAATTATACCTGGTTTGACCTCGTCATTGTCATGTTTAGGTGCTCCGAGGAACACAGAAGGAACAGGACTCTGAGTCCTTGAAGCTGCATTCATAATTTAAGGTCTATATAGATAAAGTCACAGAAGAATGAGGGTCAGTCTCCTGTGAAGGTCAGCAGCATCCATTCAAGGCATCTTGTTGTTTTTGTTGAACTTTTCACTCCAGGATGGATTTTAAATGCTAAAGGAGCTCAGGTCAAACCCCTCGTCTTCCTTTCTGATCAGAACTTTACCTCCACTCCCTCAGAACAGCTAGTCTTCTGGGTCAGACGGGTGGGAAGGCAACACTTGGCCTGGTTCTCTTTGGAGTGGGGGCGGAACTGGCTGCTGACTGAGCACCAAAATGTCAGGAGTGCTACCAGGGGAGACACTCATCTTCCTGCAGCACCAGGATGTAATTCTAGACAAATATGTGGGAATGGGAAAGCACAGACGCTACAGCCACTTAGACCAGGCTGCGAGGTCAGTTGTTACCAAGGTTACTAGGTCATTTATTGTGACAAAAATCAGTTAACTTTTCTAAGACTCAGGTGTTGTGAAAACGGAGATTGCAAGTGTCTGATGACCCTGACTGGGCTGCCCGCTTCCTTTATTTCTCTGGGGAGTTTCTGAAACTTCGTTACACACTTTTGTCCACTTCCTTACCCTGGGAGGCTACTGAAACTCCATGCACACTTGGGGCTAAAGCATTCCAAGTGACTGAGCAGAGCCACATACTGCTACCTCTGTGAATTGGAGAGTTAGACAGGCTTTCTTAAGCAAGGACCAGATTGTGAAATCAAGATTATAAAAGTAAATAAACCCACAGGACAATTCTTTGCTTTAAGAAGCATTCCCCCAAAGACTATTTATCTATTTATTTATCTGCCTTTCAACTTGGGTAAGCGTCTATCTATATTCAATCCAATAAAGCAAGACAATACCAGCTGGCTTTGATTCTACCTGATTTGGGGCAATCATTCATTCGCACTGTAATCTCCACTTGCCACATGAGCTTCTGGCCCTCTTGTCACATGGTTATGATATTTCCACCAAGACAGAGGCTCCTTGAAGGCTCCCTGCTGCCACTGTTAGTAGTGTGAGCCATACTTTACCTACCTGTGTTCTCAAAAAGGGTATCGATAAATGTGCAGTTCTTGAAGTAGGTGTTGACTGAGGTCACATCGTCAAAGGTGCACGACTTAAACACCGAATCTTTGAAAGTTACGGACTTGAACTTGACTCCGAGGAATCTGTAGAAACACATACACACAAGTGAACTGGCTTTTGTCTACTTGAGTTCAAAGCTAAGTCAAATGAATTTAGAGCTACAGCGCCCTACTATAATCATCCTTAAGTCATAAAGGGCACCTTGGTTTTCTAGGCATTTTGCTTTTGCCCTTTTGGCCTTGGGCATATGGATTTTTCAATGTTATTCATTATTCAATATTATTTCCAGTCAGGGGAAGCAATGGCTCTCAAATCTAGTTGGTTTTTTGAGATGATGGCAAAAGTCTTGAGAGCTAGAGCTGTGGCTCTGGACTGTTTGGTTTTCATCCCTATCCTTCACTCTTTTTTTTTTTTTTTTAAAGTCTCCACTGAGACTTGCGAATCTCACTGAAGATGTGTTAATATCTGAACTTTGTATTTTTACCTATATTAATATGTTACAGCAATGAAGACGGAACCTAGGGACTTGCACGTGCTAGACAAGTGCTCTACTACTGAGCTACTGAGCTTTACCCCTAGCCCTCTGAGTTTTTCACAAAGTTTAATTTCTAAGTTTAGAACCTTCTAGAGCAGCGCAGCGGTACATGCTATGTATGGTGCTGGACTTGAGATTACAGGCATGCACCGCCACGCCTGCTGTCATCTTAGAAATTTCTAGTGGAAGAACAACACTTTCAAAAACAGACATTCATCCCACAGTTGCAGAAGTTGATGCAATACGTGCAGATCATCAGTGGTTCAGATGGGTGAGAGATGTTATGAGGCAGGCGCTATGCGGCCTGGGTTGTGATTGGGTCCCTCCTCGAAACACGATGGCCTCCGTGCTTCAGTTTCTATCAAATGTAATGCTTTTTTTTAATTTCATAAATTTTATTATTAAAAAACTTGCTAATAAACAAAACCATCATACACACCCCTGAAAGATGATTAGGGCTCTTATCCATTATCCAGGCCACAAGCATTCCCCAAGTCTTTTTCATCTTAATGAACAGGTTTTTGCCTTGGGCAATTATGGTTATCTTGGAATTTAAAAGGCTTTCATCATTTTAGAAATTAAGACAATTTTTTAGGAAAAAATGAGCTACTGTGAGTCCATATTAGCGACTCTGCTCGATGATATGTATGTGGCTATGGTTCCCTTGTCTATCCGTTTTCCTCTCTGAAAAGGTGAAGCAGACCCACCTCCCGGAGCCCCTGGCTCACCTGGTGCACCTAACATTAAGAAGCAGCCTGGTCCTGTCACATCCCTGCTACCCCTTGCTGTTTCCACAGCCCTTCACTCGGGGAGGCCATTTCTGCTCGCTCTCTAACCCACAGGCTGCTCGGCACTGAAATCCAGCTCTTAATTTGTGCCGTAGAGACCTGAGATGTGGCCTTCCAGAAATGGGAGACTCCCACTTAGAGTCGCACAACTCCCTCCCTCCCCTCCTGCTTTACACCACCCCCTCCTCTCCTCCCTAACTGTCCCAGAAGTGGTTTTGTTGTTGTTGTGTGTTTAAATTCCAAGAGGCACATGACAATTCTCTGCCAAGTTTTGAAGTAGACTGAAGTAACTGATGGTGTGCATCTTTAAAGTAGATTCTAAATTATCAAAATCCATCCCCAAATAACTAAGAATACAATTGGAAACCCCGACAGGCTTTGTTTTTTATTAACTGTACACCCCCACAAGGCAAGTTAATATGTCAAAACGTCTAGACCTGCCGTTGTCGTACTCCATTCCAGTATGGATCTGGTTTTCCATGGTAAAGTTAATACTGAAGTTTGCATATTTATCTTTTTGCACATTTTTCGTTAGCAGGGCATACTGGTCTGACTGCAGGTGTTTGATGACATCAGGGAACCAAACAGACAATCCATAGTACCTGCAGAGGTAAAGAGACATGTGGGTTTTTGTTTGTTTTTTTTTTGTTTTTTTGTTTTGGTTTGATTTTTCCAGACCTGGTTTCTCTCTGTACTTTACGAGCCTATCCTGGCACTCTCTCTGTAGACCAGGCTGGCCTCAAATTCACAGAGACCGAGACATGTGTTTGTAACAGAGCACACAAGGTCACAAGGGCCTCCTTGACAGCACTTCCAATTATGACTGGAGTCTTGAACCATTTGAATAAATCATCACATAGTAATTGGTATGCTGCCCTTGCAAAAACAAGGTAGAGAGACAGCTGGAACCTCCAGGTCTGTAAGTCCCGAAGCCCTTTGGGAAGAGACATGAATCTCATCCTGTAACCACACACAATGCTATGGTCTGAGTGTGTCCCCTTCAAAACCAGATCCTAAATCCCATATGATAGTATTAAGAGGCAAGACCTTTAGGCTGTGGGATGTTGTTATGGCAACAAAATAAACACATGGCATGGTGGCCCTGACATCATCCATACCAACCTGGGCTCCATGGAGAAAGCCTGTCTGCAAGCCTGGTAGAACAGAGCCCTGGGATCCAGGGCGAGTCCATTAATGGAGCTCATTCTTGCTCCTACATGGCTATGACATAGCTAGTCTGCAGTAGGGGCCGTTTCCCAAAGGGTTCAAGGCAGCAAAGAGGGACATTTGGGGTTTCTTTTCTTCCCTCTTAACTCCTCTGCCCCAATCTTCTTCTGCCCCCTTTCCTCACCCCCTCTTCTCCCCCTCACTCCTGTCTTTCATTCTGAGGCCAGGTCTCATGTAGCCCAGATGGCTTCAGATGTTCTATGTTGTTGCGTGATATTTTGAGTGTGTTCTCACAAATATAGCTTCGTTGGAGTCAGAGGGCAGAGCTAGCTACTAGCCGACCTAAATTAACCATAGAGGTTTGGAGGACTATAGACAGAAGGGAGAAAAGAAGTAGTAAGTTGGGGCAGAGAGAGGATCTCGGCCCTTTTGGACAGGGGGGCGTTATAGAGGTAGGAGGTGGCTGCTCCCTGCAAATCTGACATTTCAGGTTCTTACCCCGATGTCTAACTCCCGGTTTTGTATTGATGAGGATTAATTAGATTGGCACTTTACTATGTAGCTGAGAAGGGCCTTGAACTTCCAATCTCCCTGCCTCCACTTTACCCCTGGTGGGATTACAGGCATATGGCAATACTCATGCTTCACAGGTGCTGGGGGTCAGACCCAGGGCTTCAAGCCCTCACTAGTCAAACAGCCTGAACTGCCAGGCTGTTCCCACTCCCCATCTCATGCTCTGTAATGTGTGACTCTGAAAGCTGTGGCATGCACCAAGTTGTTCGATCCAGTGACGACACACAGCCACTAAGCCCCTAAAAGGTGGCCAGTCCAACTGGAGGTCGTTCTTTCGCTCTGTAATCTCTGTAAATACTGTAAAATCATTTATTAATAATGTTATATTGATCATAGATACCACTTTGGACACAATGAATTGAATAAAGCTGTATTAAAATTAAATTTACCCATTCTTTTTTTTTTTTTTTTTGTGGATGTTACTACCAGAAAAATCATCAAAAGAAATAAGTGGACTAAATCTCATTTGCATCAGATAGTGTCACTTTAATGTAGTAGTTTCCAAACTGTGACCCCCCTGGACCCATGGTCATGAACCTGGCCTGATCCAGGACATTATGAATCTGTGTGCAGTGCACCAGGGAAATTGTTCTGTTATGTGATCCAGTTTTCTTCCAGTTTATCCCAGCAATGCTCAGATGCTCAGGCGAGGAAGTGGTTTGCAAGTGGACAGTCTTCAGGCCCTGTCCTTGTCATTTGCCTGCAGCATGAACTTGGGCCCCTTGGCTCAGTCTTGGCTTACCACACTTATGATGTCTATACAGATAGAGGACTAATCACTTTTCACAGGCTGTTGCTCAGATATAATGGGATGCAAAATGCCTACCACACCAAGGGTACCCAAAAGACCAAATGAGTCATTATCACCATTACATTGTTACCAGGACTCCTCAAACATTTACTTTTCAGAGTCCCGTAGATTTCCACCCCCATGCCCCTCACAGACTATGCATCAGTGCAGTGGGAGGGTGAGGGTGGTCACTGAGTAAGCAATGACTCAGGGCTGCAACACTAGTGGGCTGCTCTCTAGTCAGAGTCACAAGGCTCAACTTGAAAATGACAAGGAAAACACATTATCTTGGGAAATTCACCATCAATGATGTGGAGTTTTAGCTGGCGTTTTATTTGCTCAGCAAACATTTGCTGAATGTCCTTTCAATAGTAGGTAGCACTGAGATTCCAGGAAAGAAGTAATAAAACTTAAACTCTAGTCAGCAACGAGTAAGTTGCTGGGTATTGGCTGCGTTGAGAACTTTCTTTTTGTTTATCTTTGTCTTTTTCATACAGAGCTAATGACAGGAATCCAATACTATTCATTTCCATCTCTCTCAACTAAAGTCATATAGTTCAGAAGTTGGGAGAGTTTACTTAACATACCTCCCTGACTCCACCCCTCCCCCCCGAACTAGGGATAGAACCCATGACCTTACACGTACCTGGCAAGTGCCATACCACTGAGCTATGCCTTCAACTCTAAGCCTCTGAACTTAGAAAAGGGAAATGAAATTTCATGGTTGACCAAGCTGAATACCAGTATAAGCTCCCAGTATAAGCTTCCTACTCAAAGCATCCCCTTTCCCTTCATCACACCTTGCCAACCGGCTCAAGTAAAGCAAATTTTAAGAAACATTTTGTATGGTTGAAAATAGAAAGTGCCACAAGGAATAATAAGGCTGAGAAGGGAACAGGGAGTGTGGAATGGAGAAACTGTGATCTTAAAAAGGAAGGGAGAAGCAGGGCGGTGGTGGCGCATGGTGTGGCTCACGCCTTTAGACCCAGCACTCCGGAGGCAGACCTTTGTGAGTTCAAGGCCAGCCTGGTCTACAGAGCTAGTTCCAGGACAGGCTCCAAAGCAATACAGAGAAACCCTGTCTCCAAAAAGAAGAAGAAGAAAAAAAAAAAAAAAAAGAAGGAATGAAGGAAGAAATAGAGGAAGAGAGAGAGGAAGGGAGGGGACAAGGCAGGAGGGAAGGAGGTAACTCAGGGACAGAGTCACTGAGGAGACTTGAGGAGACATGAATGGGTGATGGGGAGAGGGGGAGAGGCAGCTGCTAGACTGGGACAGTACTCTTGGTAGGGGTGGTGTAGCCAAGGCAGAGCTGGAGGCAGAGACAGTTTGCCAAGTTCGGGAAAAGCAGGTAGGCCAGTGTGGCTGGGGCTGAGCCAAGGAAGGTCAGAGGGCAGCACACAGGTGAGTCACCCAGGACTCCATGTGACTTCCCAGATTCCACTGGGTTTGTCAGGCCAGTTTCCCAGCAAGATCAATAGATGGGTTAGTTAATTAGGGTATAAAAACCATGGCTGTCAGCAAACGTAAGCTACAGAAGCATCCTTTTTTGGGCAAGTTAGCAGAATTGAGCCATATGAAACTTAAGAAGGAAAGAAAGAAAAAGGAAAGGAAGGAAGGAAGAAGAGAAGAGGAAGGAAGGAAGAAAAAGAAAGGAAGAAAAGGACACACACATACACACACACACACACACACACAAGACAAAGAAGCAACTGGGAGTCACAATGTGACAGTTGATTTTGTCCACTGAGAATTTAAATGTCACTTACCCAAAGGACAGTGTGAACCAAACAATGGTGAGCTTTATGGTGTTTTCCCTGACTGGGTAGTTGAAGCATCTCATAAAAGTCAACCAAATCTGTAAAATATTGGATGGTTAGAGTTGCATATTATATACAGTTATAGCCCCCATCCTGAGTCTTTTCAGAGCTGAATTAATTTTAACTACAATATAAAGGCTTAACATCAACACAGAAGCAAAGGCTCAAAATTTCTCCCTCTTTCCCTCCCTCGTTCCCTCCCTCCCTCCCTCCCTCCCTCTGACCTTCCCTGGTAGAGACAAATGCTCTACCATTGAGTTACATCCCCAAACCGTCTTTAATTTTGACATAAGTTCTCATCAAGCTTCCCAGGCTAGCCTTGAACTTTCAGTCTTCCTGCCTCAGCCTCCCGAGTACCTGGAATTACAGGCCTTAATCATCAGGCCTTCCTAGCAATGCTCACTTTTCAGTCTCCTAGAGACCAATAGATACCAAGACAGACCTTCATTGTGCTAACTCCTAACCTGCCCCTTCCCTCTTCACAATGGAACATACTGGCTAGCCACTGAGCTGAAAGGGCTCCAGTGGCCTGGCCCTAGTGCAAGAGACAAGTGTCTTAGACAGAGGGGACGAGTCCTCCTTGAGGGACAGCGACTACCCCCAAACGTCAGAAATTGATATGTGGGTTATAGTGAAACTGATACTTACTCCATACAGTTCTGTGCGGATCCGAACAAAACACCTCCTATACCACGTCCCTGTGTCGCTCTCAATCTCAATCAGCTCATCTATTTGTTTGGGAGTTTTGATTTTATTTACCTGTGAACAGCAACAGAGTGCAGAGGGTTGAGTTCCCTTCCCTGAAGCTGCTGATTTTAGGCTATTCATTTTAAATGAACAGAAAGTGGTATTTGGTGCGAACTCTGCATATACATGAGAACACGGGCAGAGGTCTACAGATCCAAAGACACCTGTAGGAACTGAATAAGATTTAATGGTGGGGAATGCCATAGAGAAATGGGAGGGGCAACAAGCAGAGATGGAATGACCAAAGGCAAAAATGCCTCCCTGTTCATCATCACCCCAAAGACCCAGGCGGCAAATTAACACTAGAGACACAAGCTTCAGCATGTAGAGTTACTTTCCCTGGAGATTATTTTTGGGCGGGCACTACTTATTTGATGGATTTGGCTTTTAACTGTAGTTGGTAACACTCGCCCATTCAATGTTTATCCATAGCGTGACACTATGACCTGTTTTTCCTTCACCCATGGGTTAACCCAGCAGGGACTCACAGATGGCTACAAGGAAAGATGTTTCCATTGTGAACATCAACCCTGACTCTTCAGTTACATAAGAGAAAGAAAAGATGAAGATTCAGCATGACAATGTACATATGTGACAACGTGCATATGTGACAATGTACATATGTGACAATGTACATATGTGACAATGTGCATATGTGACAATGTACATATGTGACAATGTACATATGTGACAATGTACATATGTGACAACGTGCATATGTGACAATGTACATCTGCAGCCTCTTGGAGCTAAGGAAAAGAAACACAACACAGGTGAGAAAGGTTTCAACACAGGAAAAGGAGGGAGGGAGGGAGGGAGGGAGGGAGGGAGGGAGGGAGGGAGGGAGGGAGGGAGGGAGGGAGGGAGGCAGGCAGAAGCTGGTCCTGGGCTGAGCCCAGCCATGCCTGTGCCAGGGCCGTGCCCTTGCCACGGCAGCTGAAGAAAAAGCGAATTTCCAGGCGTGTTTTGTCAAGAGAATAAAGCCAAGAAGCAGAAGCTGGTAGAACAGAACCCTCAGTGGCCTATGTGTACCCTCAGGCATGCACACACAGTGTACATGCACCACACAATCACATATACAGATGTGCACATTCCACAAGTCAGCTGAAATAAAGTCACGGAAAGCAACATCTGCAGTAAGACATGGTGCGAAGAGATGCAAGCCACAGGACTGGAAAAAGAAATCATCTTCTAAAGTATGTGTTAGTGTATATTGCTTTAAAACAAGAGCCCGTCTGTACGCAGAACAAGAGAAAGGGTAAACTTGTCCTCGTAGACTCCTGCAGCGGCTTTCTACCAGTGTTCTGAGTTTCCCAGTGCTCTAGGAGTGTTCTCACCTTATCCCTCTCCCCCCAACTACTCCTAAGTGGTCACACTGACAAGGGTGGCCATGAGTAGGCTTGGCCACGCAGATCCCCAATAAGAAAATCAGGTAAGCAGGGCAGCAAACCCCTGCAGAGACAACGTCTCAGAAGGTCTTTGATAAAAGGTTTACAATCACCTGGCTAAGAAGGGTTGGATGACATCAGGTACCTCGGTGACATCTCAAGATTTCTTTGGCCTTCCGATCCTTTAGTTTTTATTCTTCTTTTTTTGAGAGGGGGATTTCAAGACATTTTTTACCTTATATGGACAAGTATTTTGCCTACACGAATGTCTATGAACTACAAGTATGTTTGGTGCCATTGGAGGCCATAAAAGGGTGTCAGAGCCCCTGGAAGCAGAGGGTTGTGAGCCACCAAGTGGGTGCTAGGAGTTAAGCCTGGCTCCCCTGAATAGCAGTGAGTGCTCTTAGCCATGAAGCCATCTCATCTCTCTAACCCCTTGTGGCTCTTTAAGAATAACCCTGCTTAGGAGGAGAAGGGAGATAGCTCAGTTAGTAGGCAGCTTTCCTTTCATGAGGACCCGAGTTCAAATCCCAGAACCCACATACCCATGCTGAGCACACTGATACACACATGTGATCTCATTGCCAGAGAGGTGGGGATGGGATTTGGGGATCTAGGCCAGGCCACGTAGCTTAATGGGTGTTCTCCAATGAACAACCATGTCAAAGGATGAGGATGGAATTCATGGAATTCCTGAAGCTGACATTGAGGTGTCCTCTGGTCTCCACACACATTGGCCCATATGTGAACACACACACACACACACACACACACACACACACACACACACACGCACCCATTAATCATGCATACACACAATACTCTATGACTGGCAAGGCCTTAAAAGTCTGGCCCCTTACAGAAAATGTGTTGGGAACTCAAGGGTTGTCTAAGGAGCAGACTCACCGTGAAGACCTTCTCTGGCTGGCCCCGAGCTCTCATGTTGGTATCATGAATTAGCTTCAGAATCATCCAGGCTTCATCATGTTTTCCCACCTAAGAAAAACACAGGCAGTCAGAGCTAGAAGGCAGACATTCTTACCCTTGCCTTTCAGTAACTGAGTTTCCAGAGCCCATGGAAGGTCACCATGCAAATGTGTTTAGCTCTTCCCCAATGAAGCACACAGGCTGAGGGTGCCACTATAAAGCAGCAGTTCGAAGAATGTGCCTTCAACTAAAAATAGCACCTGGGGACAGTAAGGATTCATTTATTAAACAGTGAGTAGTATCCCCATCAGTGGAGTGAAAGCTATTTGCTTAGGGAAGAGCATGCGCAGCTTTGGCTGTGAGACGACTTTCACATACCTTTTCTTAAAGCACGATTCCATGAAATCAAACCCTGCAAATCCCATGGTAGGAAGGGAGAATACACCCCTTGAAAAGGCAGACAGGCTTCCTTGGAAACAGCACAGAACCCTTCCCAGCGTGCACGGACTATTTACGTTTCTGTAACAGCAGCCATTACCTCCAGCAAGAACCGGGGGCTTTCCGGCATGAAGGTGAGGGCGACCACAGAGGAGATGCACGGGAGTGCACAGACGATGACGAAGACGCGCCAGCTGTGGAACTGGTAGGCTGAGCCCATGCTGAAGCTCCACCCTGGAAAAGGACAGAAGCGTCAAGGAGAGCCCCTGTACACTGCAGCTGGGCAGGCCGTCTTACTGTCCACAGAGGGGCGAGCTGATCTGCAAATCAGGTTCAGTAGCAGGCTCAATTAAAGACACCCCCCCCCACCCCACGCAGAGCTGAGGACAAAGGTGCCCGAAATCCAAAGGATCGGGATTTAAGCCAAGGGTATATGTGTGGGATTCCCTAAAACAAAACCCCAAAAGCCAATGTGGGAGGATGTGCCTTTAGCAGGCCACCATGCTGGGTGTCTTCTCTTTACTCTTCCAGACCATGTTCCAGTCTTTGCCATCGGACTGTCAGGAAATGGACTTCATCATTCAGTTCCCAACTAAGTTTTGGGGTGGAATTCAGACAGGCTTGTCTATGTGGCCCAGGCTGGTCTTGAACTCGTAATCTTTCTACCTCTGCCTCTTGACCAGTGTGATAATATGCATCTGTTACCACACCTGATTCCCAACTAGGTTTGAGTAGACATAATTTCCGCGTCCTCCCCACCCTTCTCCCTACCCTGGCCAGGCAGAGGAGTGTCTTCCTTTGGCCTCCCCAGCTCTTCACAGCCAGCCCACTGTTGGCCTTTGAGGTGTGGGGACTCTAGGTTCTCTAGCATGTCCTATGTTTCTCTTTACAGTCTCTACAGCTCTGTGAAGTCTTTTCATTACAACACCTTTATGGGGGGGGAGCTGATTTTACACTGCCCTTATCAGAAACAAGGACTTGTGTCTCTGCTGATAGACAGCACAGGGACTGGCAAGGTGAATTCCAACTTCTAAGCAGACATCTTATATGCTGGGCGATCATACAAATGGAAGTCCTATTACAATATACTAAGAACAGTCTCAATGGGATAGATAGGATAAATAGAAATCCCTCTGGAAACTGGTATTTGCATGAATATAATACTGAATAGAACTGAAACAGGTTTCCAAATGAGAAGGAATGAGGCTCATCACATCTAACGGAAGACAGAGCAGGGTTTAGAGGGGACAGAGGAACTGTGTGAAGTGGGACACTAATCTTCAGCAAAGCCTGGGAAGTATAACACTTCTGTGAGCCAAAGTCTATGTCCCCTCCCCAAGAGAGCTGTGGGTCGTCTTTTGTGGGAACCCTGGGAGACACTGGAAATGACATGATCCTGAGAGCTACAAACTGAAGTTACAGAATCTTTATTGCCAGGACTCAAGAAGGAATTGTACACCAGCACCCAGACTTATGCACGTGACATCTCGTCCACTGTGCTGTTGACAAGTGCCATCAACATCAGTGGCATGCAATAGTAATCTTGCATCTAGTTTTGTTCCAGGAATTTAATATGTGGAGGCTGTGTGGGTTGCTAAGTTAATTATGCCATTAGCATTCAGGGAGCATGATTACTTCCAATGTCTCATATAGCCTAGATTCAAAGGTCTCACATATCCAAAATACAGAAGCAACTATGACAGAACAAAGGGACCACACTGCACATTTCACATGATCTCAGAGCTTCATATAAAGACTCCCTTTAAAGATCTCTAAACCTTATTATTCTCAACACTGGGGGAAAAAACCCCTTCAGTGACTGAGTTAAATTTCAGGTATAACACTTTCCACAGAATAGAGGGAGGAAGACAAGAGACAGAGGGCTCCGGTGTCAGAGTTCAAAATGAGCATTTACAAGGCGACCCTTTCAGCAGATAATAGGTCAAAGTGATTTAACCATGTCACTGCAGTGGGTAGAGCGCAGCACTTCTGTGATAGCCGGAAAAGTGACCCCCACTCCCCCACAGAGGTTCTCACACCAACCTCCAGGACCCAAGAATGCAGATGGTAAAGGTAAGAGAAGTCATGAGTTGTCCAGTAGAGTGGGACCAAATATAAGTTTAAGCATCCTTAGAAAGACAGGCAGGGGAAACGGTGCTCAAGTTTGCTTTCTGTTACTGTAATAAACATCCTGAACAACAGCAACTCGGGAAACAAAGGGTTCATTTCATCTTAGAACTTGAAGTTCACCAGGAAGGGCAGGAACCTGGAGGCAGGAGCTGATGCAGAGGCCATGGAGGATGCTGCTCACTGGCTCACTCTCATGGCTTGCTTAGCCTGCTTTCTCAATACAACCCAGGACTTCCTGCCCGGGAGTGGTACTGCCCATAGTGAGCTATATCATCCACAATCAATCATTAATAAAGAAAATGCTCTACAGTGTCCATTACAGCCCGATCTGAGGGAGGGATTTTCTTGGTTGGGGCTGCCTCTTCTCAGATGACTCTAACTTGTGTTATGTTGACAAAAAACAACTAACCAGGATGCAGAATGAGACACAGAGGAAAAGATATGAGGGAAGCAGAGACCAGAGGGGAGAGAGATCTGAATGTGGTGATATCTTGCTTGTACAAATAAAGCCTGTGTGGAGGTCAGGGAACGGAGCTTGCCACTGGCTAACCATAGAGGTCTGGAGGTCTGTACAGACAGACAGGAAGTGAGGTAGTTGGGCACAAACAGGATATAAGCAGGGAGAAACAGGAACTGGCTCTTTTGTCTGCTGAGACACTAAGGAGGTAAGGTGTGCTGTGGCTTGCTCCTTCTTCCCTCTGATCTCTCAGCATTTTCCTCTGTATCTGGCACTGGGTTTTTATTACGTAGAGCAATTTAAGAACTCCATTTACATCTGAAGGTGCTGCACTGCTTACTTTAAATAGGTAGGAAGGGGCCACTAGCCAAGGCATATTGGAGACTAGTAGAAGCTTGGATTCTCAAGAACTACGTTTGTCCTCTTGGAGGATGCAGCGTATTACAGGCACAAGCCACCACACTTAGCTGGTATGTAACGTTGTGAATGTGCTTCTTATACTTAGCGTGATTCACTGGAGACTCAAACAAATTGTCACATATGGGTTATATGTTGGATTGTCTCCAATTTAGGGTACTTATTAAAGTTGCTCTAAACATTTTTTTGTGCGTGTCAAAATTTTGTTCTTGAAATGATAGGGTCAGACACTTGAGTCATACGTTCAGTTTCCGTTTGGGTTTATTTGTAAATTTTTATTAGATTTTATATTTATTTGTTTGTTTCTTTATTGTGTGTGTGCCTGTGAGCACTCACTTGCACTCTCCCTGCAACCCGAGGCCCCTGGGATCTGAGCTCAGGTTGTTAGGCTCAGTGGCAAGCACCTTTATTGGCCGAGTTATCTCATTACCCGGCCCCCCACCCCAGAGATATTCAGTTAATTTCACATGAAGACATTGGCTTACTCTCCACAGCAGCTGCATTGTATGCGTTGCCCTGTGTAGTGTGCTGCAGCTTGGGTTGAAGCTCATAGCCTTCCCATGATTTAATTCACTTTTCCTAAAATCTGCTGATCTCTTTGTTTCCTTCCCATTCATTTCACACTTACACGGACACAGAGTTTCTTTTCCGTCCAGTTCCACAGCCATTTGGTCCCAAATAAATACACAGAGGCTTGTATTATTTATACAAGGTTTGACTGATGGCTCAGGCTTTTTATTTGGGTAGCTCTCTCTCAACTATTAACCCATTTCTATTAATCTGTGTATTTCCACTTTGTCTTGGCTTACCAGTCTTGGCTTGCCAGGTCTACCTCCCACCCCCACCTGGCAGCTCCTCTCTACCTTCCTCTTCCCAGCATTCTCCTAGCCTGGTAGTCCCACCTATGATTCCTGCCTGGCCACTGGCCAATCAGCATTTATTAATCAACCAATAGAGAAACATATTCACAGCATACAGAAGGACATCCTTCATGACTTATACAAGATGCTTAAGCATGCCAATCACCATACATGACACAGAGAGGCCGTCACCACATGTGGCATGGAGATTATGAGCCCGCGTTCTTGCTCCAGGGGAGAGAGGGTCCAGGGAAAGAGGCAGATTTGTTAGGGAACACAGTGACCTATGACTCATGCTGGTCCCGGTTAGAAAGAAAGTATAGCACGTGCACCAGATGGATGGGGCCATGTGTTCTCCTGAGCAGCCTTTTCTCAAGAGTGCGGGCCAAATTCCCTTCCTCATTTTGAACTCAGCACAAAGCAAAGTTAGAGAGAATTAAGGTCTTAAGCAGTACGCAAGGTGTTCCAAGACTGATTGCCCTTTACTTATTATTTTATAACTGACTGATTTGGAGAGAGGGGTATGTCCTTGGGCAGTGGAAGGAGTCTTGACAAGGGAAATCCCATTGCATGCCTACTAGAGTCAAAGACTTAGAGAAATACCCTGGGACCTGAGTGGAAGACAGGCACCACAGGGGACTTGAGAAATGGTGTGGCTGTCTTACAAACTAGAACATCATTCTGTGCATCAAAAACAAAAAAAAGCACAAAGGACTGGGTCCCTGGCACTGTCACTGCTCAGCCTTTTAGTCCTCAGCTCTGCTGAGTGCCATTTCAAGAAGCTTAAATCTGAATTCCAGCTCTGGACAGACCCTACACAACGATCTCAAAGGAGGATGAAGAAGAGGGCAGTGGAGTCAAACCCCACCTCACTGGGGAAGTGGGTTGTGTGTTCAAACATATCTGCACTTAGTAAAATGGATTCTTTCAATTGAATCCTTACCATTGGCACTGTGCCCTTTATCTTTGTGTGTGTGTGTGTGTGTGTGTGTGTGTGTGTGTGTGTGTGTGTGTGTCTTTAAAACTGATTCTTGTCAACTTGATGTTTCTAATTGTCCTTTGGATTTTGCTAAAATACTTATTAACATGTCACACTGTGGGATTTATCTACAGATAATGTAAATTCCACGCAAGGGAGGACCTCAATTAGGGTGTTACAGAAGGCTGCTATTGTCTGGCTCTAATCATGGTGGTGCTAATAAAAGTGTGATGTATCTTGCATAATAATCCAGGCCCTTGCCAGCCTCACCCTGCTGTCCCTGCAGGGTCCTGTGACTGCCTCCTCAGCTGCCTGTTGTCCAAGGAACACAGGCAAATATGTGACACACCAGGACACTGGCCTCTACATCTTTTTCTAACCTTTGTCCTGG